ATTTCTTTCATGCTTATAATAGTGTGTGAATGATGAGTCATGATGTTGAATGTGTGTGTCGAGTCAATAGCGAGCTATCGCTAATCGCGTGCCACGTCGTCGTTTGCGTGTCATATGCGGTTTTCTATTTTGTCGTGTGTGGAACGTTCAGCATGTCGCAGGTGCATGCAGCATACTTTAAAAAACTCAAGGATGAGTTTATGGTGAAGAACCAGAGCCTTGGTTTCAAGATTCAAGTGATTTCGAAGCTCGCCAAAAGGGTACACTTCAAGATAGTGAGAATAGTTACATTACAATGTGTAGTGTAACATTTCTCTTGGTGTAGGCCCTTGTGGAGGGTAGTTTCGAGACCCTTCTTGGTTGGGGACAATGTGGCTCTGTTCCAAATCATTTTACCTCGGCTCTTGGAGATTGTAGAGGTTGGGAGTCATTCCGAACTCGTAAGACTATAATGGCTCCAATAGTGCCATTCGTTCAAACTTACATTGCGTCGTTATTTTGTAATGAAATAGTGCGATTTGAATTGCCTATTGTAGGCGACGTTAAGGCGCTCCAGATCTATTTTTTAGCATGTCATTTGGATCTGTTACCAGAACGCTATCAACGTTTGAAGCCGCTGCGCAGAAATCCGTTTGTGCACTCTCTCGTTCTAGGCACATTCAAGCCTATTGTGACTATGAAAAGTGATATCAGAGCCCCTTGGAGTAGTTTCGACAATGGCTGGACCTGAAGAAAGGGGTGGCAGAGGTGCTGGAGGCAGCGGAGAAGCCCAATCTCAAGGTCAACCCCGTGATCCCGCCATGTCTCCCATGGAACCAAGTCTTGGTCCACCTAGGGACGAGCCTAGGGTGCTTGGGCTCGACAAACTCAACGGTGACAACTTTGCTGAATGGTCCTTCAAGATGGAGAATATATTCGACCATTATGACCTGCTGGAGGTGATGGAAGGAATGGAGAAGTGCCCCGAGAGCGGTGGTGTTGGAGCGGCAAATGGCGGCACTACGAATCGAAGATGATGAAGCAGTTGAAGGAGTGCAGAAATTCTTCGACTTGATGACACGACTCGAGGGAGCTGATTTCAACTACAGTGAGCTCGAAAAGAATACTAAGCTGCTGGCCTTGCTTCGTGAGTCATGGTCCTCAGTCATCATCAAACTTTATCATGATCTGCCTCGCCTCTCGCTAAGAGATTTGAAGCGAGCAATTCTTCAAGAAGACTTTCGCTGCCGTGAGTTGGCGGGTTAAGGTGGCGCCGAGGCAGCCAGCATAGGCCATGGATATGGCCAAAGAAGGGACAGAGGACGAGGAGGAGGAAGCGTCTGTAACCCACTGTTGTCACTGACCCGTCGTTTGAGTCTGCTGCTGCGTCTGCTCTTGTCGCTGAGCTTGTTGACTTTGCTGCTGCATGTCGTCTAGACTACGCCGCTAGCCTTGTTGCTGAGTCTGAGTCTGTCTGCCCTCCGTCCGTCGGGGGTGAGTGTGCTCTTGGCACGGACGTCCTTGAGGACAGACAAGAGGACCTTGAGTGCCTTGCAGCCGCTGCGCCTCATCTCGTGACCATGCTGCTTGCCCCTGAGGGAGACCCGGATGCACCAGACATCCCTACCCCGCGCTCTTACGCTGAGGCGATCGCGGGTCCCTACTCCTCCCAGTGGCAGACAGCCATGGACGCAGAGATGGCATCCTGGAAGTCCACAGGCACCTACGTCGATGAGGTTCCCCCTCCTGGGGCGAACATCGTCGATGGCATGCGGATTTTCAGGGTGAAGCGGCCGCCTGGTTCTCCGCCTGTCTTCAAGGCACGTTACGTTGCTCGAGGCTTCAGTCAGCGCGAGGGAGTCGACTTCTTCCAGACCTTCTCCCCCACCCCGAAGATGACCACTCTTCGGGTACTGCTGCACATTGCCGCTCAGCGTGACTACGAGCTTCACTCGCTGGACTTCAGCACAGCCTTCTTACAGGGCAGCCTGCACGAGGAGATCTGGTTGCGCCGCCCACCTGGCTTCACTGGGTCGTTCCCTCCTGGTACCCAGTGGAGCCTCCGGCGGCCAGTCTACGGTCTCCGCTAGGCGCCTCGTGAGTGGCACGACACACTGAGGACTACACTTGCGGCTCTTGGGTTTGCTCCTTCGACTGCTGACCCGTCGCTGTTTCTCCGCACCGACACTTTGCTGCCGCCGTTCTACATCCTCGTGTACGTCGACGACTTGGTCTTTGCCACTGCTGACACTGAGGCTCTCGCCCTGGTGAAGTCGGAGCTGCAGAAGAGACACACGTGCACAGACCTGGGTGAGCTGCGCAGTTACCTTGGCTTGCAGATCACCCGGGACAGAGCACGCCGCACCATCACTCTGACTCAGTCACACATGGTGCAGCAGGTCCTTCAGCGTTTCGGCTTCACCTGGTCCTCACCACAGTCTACTGCTGTGGCTACAGGTCACTCGCTCTCAGCTCCACCTTCGGACGAGTCCGTAGAGCCAAGTGGTCCTTACCCGGAGTTAGTGGGCTGCCTCATGTACCTGATGACCTGCACTCGTCCTGACCTCGCGTACCCTCTTGGCCTTCTGGCACGCTACGTGGCTCCTGGTCGGCACCGAAAGGTGCACATGGATGCTGCAAAGAGGGTACTGCGTTACTTGTGCAGTACATCGGGCATGGGGCTCGTGCTTGGAGGGCAGAGAGACGTGGTCCTCACTGGGCACTCAGACGCTTCTTGGGTTGACGACCAGGCTACGCAGCGGTCGTCACAGGGTTACACTTTCAGCCTTGGCTCTGGTTCTGTTTCTTGGCGTTCTACTCGCTCGTCTTCTGTTCTCAGCTCCAGTTGTGAGGCTGAGATCTACGCCACCGCCATGGCTGCTTAGGAGTTACGCTGGCTCACTTACCTGCTGACTGACCTGGGAGAGCGGCCTCGTTCTCCTCCAGTTCTGTACGTCGACAACAAGGCCGCCATTGCCTTGTGTGAGGAGCACAGACTGGAGCATAGAACGAAGCACATCGCTCTGCGTTACTTCCTGGCTCGAGAGTTGCAGCAGCGTGGTCAGCTTCGTCTTGCACACGTGGCCACTCGGGCCAACACTGCTGATATATTCACCAAGGCACTTCCGTCTGGTGACCATCAGCGCTTTTGTACTTTGTTGGGCCTTGTGCCTACGTTTCCACACTTGCTGTAGACTCTGCTTGTACTGTGATCCATATATATATACCTGCATGCTTGTTCTTGCTAGGTAGTGATCACTGTACTGTGCTTGTTGCATATATACCTCTGCATGTGAACTGGCCTTGTGGCCCTTTGCTTGTGCTCAGTGTGTGGTGACGTTGTGATCCACCCTGAGCTTGCTTTGCTTTTCTTGACTGGTCTTGTGACCCCTTGCTCTCCCCCACTTTGCCTATGGGGGTGTGTCAAATTATATATGTTGTATTTGTGTAGGCTGTAATGGGGTAGCCAATATGGGGTACAACCCCTCTAGGGTTTGATACTTGTACCCAACTCTCTTTCAATGCATTCATTCCTGCCTGTACTTCTGACACGACTTGGGAGAGCGGCCTAGTTCTCCTCTAGTTCTGTACGTAGACAACAAGGCCGCCATCGCCTTGTGTCAGGAGCACAGACTGGAGCACAGAACGAAGCACATCGCTCTGCGTTACTTCCTTGCTCGAGAGTTGCAGCAGCGTGGTCAGCTTCGTCTTGCTTATGTGGCCACTCGGGCCAACACAGCTGATATATTCACCAAGGCACTTCCGTCTGGTGATCATTGGCGTTTCTGTATTACTTCAGGGGTTGTGCCTACGTTCTCTCACTTGCTCACTGCTTGACTTTGCTTGTACTGTGATCTATATATATACTGTTGGGCTGAGAAAAGCCCTTAGGATCTTTTCAAGGCTAAGACCCTGAGTAGGAATGTTGTAATTGCGGAAGCGTTTAATAACAAAGTATTGAACCACCTTGCGCTGGTGTGTGAGGGCAACATAGATTGATTATAGCAAGGTAATACAAGGCTTTTTATAAGATTACAAAGAATATGAAAGGATGCAACTAACTGTTTTACTGTTGCTGTTGCGGTTCGATACAGCGACGACTCGGGCAACTGCTCAATACCGAGTCAGTTGTTTGTCCTTGCTGTCGCGCTGCCTTCTAGCGAGTCAAAGGTCGCTGACCTTTGACCTTCGCGTAACCTCCAGCTGTTACGTTTTGTCAACCTCCTCGGTTGACTCGCCGTTGCTTCGTTGTAACTCGCTTCGTTTACAGTTCGATGTTCCGACACATCAGAAGCGTTAAATTACTTGTTTCCAACATATACCTGCATGCTTACACTTGCTAGGTTGTGATTACTGTATTGTTTGCTCTGTTTTATATACCTCTGCATGTGAACTGGCCTTGTGGCCATTTGCTTGTGCTCGGACTGCGTGGTGACTTCGTTATCCACCTTTTGCTTTTCTGTGACTGCTTGTACTCCCCCACTTTGCCTATGGGGTTGTGTCAGAACATTGTGTTGTGTAGGCTGTAGTGGGGTAGCCTGTATGGGGTACAACCCAATTAGGGTTAGTACTTGTACCCAACTCTTTCATTGTTCATTCATTCTCCTGCTGGATTCTGGCAGTGTCCACGTGGATAAAAGCGCACCCTTTTGGCGTATTCTCTTGTATCCGAATTAATGCGCTTATATGGTAGGCTGTTGTTTTATAAGCGCATGTTTAGTTCTTACTTCAATCTTTATCAAAATGAATTGTAATAAACAAGCTTATGTCCATTCAGGCATCCGTAAACTGTCTCGGAAGTCAGAACCCAGTGGCCTCAACGAGAGCAGCTAATAGAGCGCAGCGAAGCCACTTCTCCACTTGTGGTCCTGCAGCGACCCCATTCAGGGCAAGGCAACAAAACAAGAAAACAAGTCAGTCAAAGCTAGAGGATGACTTGATGAGAACAAACAGGAGAGTTGCACATGGTAGCACAAACACCAGTGAAAAGAATACAGTCGCTATCAGCATGTGACACTCACGCAGCAGTGGTAACATTGTTGCCGGGGCGAGGCCACCCTGTGGCGCGGCCATAGCAGTCGGCCCCATTCCAGAACCACATGAGCCCACACACGGCCCGGCTGCCCGTGGCGCCATCAGGCGCATCCCAGAGGATCTTCAGCGACCCCACCGCCCCCGCCATGGGCGCCGGCACGTTCACACAGCCGGCGGGGCGGGCGGCACCGGGCGGGGGCGCTCGGAGGATGGTGGGAGCGAGGGAGGAGGGCGAGTTGGTGAAGGAGGGGCGGTTGAAGAGAGCGATGCTGGTGGTGACACTGGTGGATGGGGCTGCAGGGAGGCGGGTGGGAGGAAGGGGAAGAAATGGGGATGATGTAAGAATGGTGTGCTGGAAGTACTCATGTGACGTGTCGTGAGACCATAAATGAGGCATGAGCTGACCTGTGAGAGCGTCTCAGAAAGCGTAAGCTAGCTAAGAATGGTTGATTGGGGGATTTGGGGTTGGCGCGTACACTGAATGCAGGCGCCGATGACGAGAGATTGCGAGGCAGGGCAGGCACAGAAGGGGATGCCGTTGCTGTCCGCCCTGCAGCGTGCTGAGGCCGGGCATGTCACCCCCTTGCAGGAGGGCGCTGGAGGGAGGGTGGAGAGAGAGGGGTGGAGGGGGTGAGAGAAATTAAGAAGGGTGAAACATGTGGTGTAAAAGATAGAGAAGGAACAAAAGCAGAGCTACAAGTCACAAGCTTATGGAACACTTAGAAGGCGCCTCAAAACCCCGAGGTTACAGAAGAGCGAGAGAAGAAACGCCCTCCTATAAGCCACCTCAAAACCCTCGGCCACTGAAGCAGCACTGACCCAGGCATGTGTTGGGAGCGGTGAGCACGGTGCCCTGGGGGCACACACACTTGGCGGAACCAGAGGAGCCGTCACACACCAGGTCCCCTGCACACTTGCTCGCCCCCCTGCATGGGTCTGCACAGGGAGGGAGATAAAAGGTGTGTGAGGGTGGGAGAGCGGGCGGATTGGAGCGACGCCAAGGGTGGGTGAGGCAAACACAACACACATGCCGACATGCCACATCACATGCAACACACAACACAGACCCAGGGCATGCCACACACACACCGAACACATGCCACACGCATCACAAGCTCACCTGCTTGGCACTTGCCGTTGACCAATGCCTGGCCCTGTGGGCACTGGCACGTGGGCTTGCCGCCCACTGCCCTGCAGGTGGCGGTGGAGGGACAGAGCACTCGGAAGCACGGGTCTTGCACTGCAGCGAGGGGGCATTGGGGGGGGGGGGGTGGGGGGGAGGCAAAGAAGGAAAACACCAAGAGAGTGTGTTGAGGAGAGATAGCAAGGGAAAGACGGCAAGGGGGAGAGGGCAAGGGGGAGAGGGCAAGGGGGAGAGGGCAAGGGGGAGAGGGCAAGGGGGAGAGGGCAAGGGGGAGAGGGCAAGGGGGAGAGGGCAAGGGGGAGAGGGCAAGGGGGAGAGGGCAAGGGGGAGAGGGCAAGGGGGAGAGGGCAAGGGGGAGAGGGCAAGGGGGAGAGGGCAAGGGGGAGAGGGCAAGGGGGAGAGGGCAAGGGGGAGAGGGCAAGGGGGAGAGGGCAAGGGGGAGAGGGCAAGGGGGAGAGGGCAAGGGGGAGAGGGCAAGGGGGAGAGGGCAAGGGGGACATGAGCACTGAAAGGCACGAGCACTGAAAGGCACGAGCACTGTAAGGCACGAGCAGTGTGAGGCATGAGCCTGTAAGGCGAGCACTGTAAGGCACGAGCACTGTAAGGCACGTTGCAAGGTTTACCGTAAGGCAGCTGGCCAATGAAGTTGCCCTGCGGTGAGTAGTGGCACGCCCACACGTCCCTGCTCGTGCCACACGACGCCTTGGCACACCCCAGCCTGCGCGTGTTGTTCCACACCACCTGCACCCGTGCCCATGCCCATGCCCATGCCCATGCGCCACGCCACACCCATAACGCAAAGAAAGCACGAGGCGGCTGTGAGCACAAGGAAATGAGACTCAAATTGAAACCAGAGATGCCACGTGCATGCAGGCGCAGGCATTGAGACACCCGCGTGTGGCGATAAGGTGTTAATGCCACTGCACGCCACTCACCTGCGTGTAATGGCCGCACTTGGCCCAGTCGCCGCCAGCACAGCCGTTGGGGAAGACGCCCAGTTGGTACCACTTGGCCTCGTCCACCCACCACCGCACCGCATCGCCGTTGGACGCCCACCCACTGGGGCCGGCGCCCGACAGGTTCTGCCCCTCGCCGCTGTTGCCGCCGTGCTGCAGGCGACAGTTGTGCTCACTCGTTGTCAGAGTGCGCGCCCATGCCCTGGCCCTTGCCGCCACTGGGAGTGCGAGAGGCGGTAGGGGGGAGCAGAAGGGAGAGAAGGGAGAAGGGAGCAGGAAGGAAGAAGAGGAGAAGGGAATGAGGGGAGTGAGAGAGAAGCATGCACGAAGAGACGCCATGGTGCATGCACGCACCACTCATACCCCATCCACATGCGCCATGCGCCATGCATGCAGCCCTCTCCCCAGCAACAGCACTCACAGGCATCGTCCCACACGAGGGGCACGGCGCCCACAGCGGCGCGGGCAGCGTTGTGCTCGTCCAGGTAGTCCGAGTTGGGGAGGGCGGCAGACGAGCACTGGTTGTTGATCAGCCGCTTGAAGGGCGCCGGGCATTTGCACACCGCTGCACCGTTCTGCACCGCGCACTTGGAGACGTCGGGGCACTTGACTCCGTAGCAGGGGTCTGAGAAGGAGACGGGGAGGGGAAAGGGGGGGAGAGAGAAAGGGTTGGGAATTTGCACACCACTGCACCGTTCTACACTGGTCATCGCCGCCGCGCACTTGGACAGCTGTAAACCCTTCGCGCCTTAACATCGATCTGCAGAGGAAAACAGGAAAAAGGGGGAAAACGGGGGGCGGAAAGGGGGGAGGAAAAATGTACTCCTTTTATACGAGGAAGGGAGAGCGAGGCCGGATGCAGCGAGTCAATTAAGCGCGTGGTTCATGTTGCAACCACCAGTGGCGTCGTTGCAATCACCTGAGCACGAGCACTTGGCGACACCAGAGGAATCCGAGCAGGAGCAACCACTTGGGCACGACACGAGCGAGCACGCGCCGCTGGCGGCCGCACCGCGCCATGGTCGCGCCGAAGCGCCCCTCCACCGACCGGCGCCTGCGGCGACGGCGGCGGATGCGGAAACGAGGTGGCGAGAGAGGAGGGTGGCGTGGAAGAGGGGAAGGAGGAGGAGGAGAAGAGGGGTGGCGATTACTGCTCGCTTTTTCATCGTTACACGCGCCATCAGGCAATCGGTAATAGCGCCGATGATCAGTGCGAGATCGAGAAATCAAATGGAGCAACACCCTTTGCAAATGGTAAGTGGCGAGTCGCGAATTCAGCCGGGCGATAATGGCTGGTGGATGGCTGCGGTTACACCTACGGCGAGGATAGATGCGGGTAAGAATGCGACGGCGGCTGCTCTTTAAATGAGCACAGGCGGACCAAGCCATGGCGCACGCGACGCGAGCTAAGCGAGCTTCGCGTGAACGAAACGAGACGGGCGGCGAGACCGGATCGCCTCTGATTGTCCGAACGTGGCTTGCAAGTTAAGACTCACGAGGCACACGAGTGCGGGTTACGGCTAAACGGAAAAAGGTCGGACCCGCAGATCGGTGGTGGATCTCTGAACTCGCGGCGACTGCGCCGTAGCTTGAATGTTAGCTCTGACTCGACTGACATGAATGTTGGCTGTTTGGCCCTCGATTTTGTGAGGCATGCTTTCATGCTGTCTATAACTTGTAAGGCACGGGGCGTCAATGGGAGAGCTATAGTACGGTTATTCACGTTCTTGAACTTTGCGAGGCATCACACTCCGGTTCAGTGGCGTGTGAAACTCACCCTCTTCAAACCCCTTTTCCCGCATATGGGATCCAACCTGGCAATTCGTCGCAACCGTTTAGCGCACGGATCTCTTCCCCTCACACCCAACACGCTCTAGTCTTACAAATGGAGCATTTCGTTTCTTGTTAGTGTTTATTATAGAAATGATCACAAACAAGAGCCCTTAATCACAAATAGTCACTCAGCTATAACGAAAAGTCACACAACTATCACGGATGGTCACGGAACTTCAAAAGCGTGAAGCCAGTTTCTGGGACTTAATATGAAAATGCTTTTGTATACTGAAAAACGGATGGTCACGGAATCTGGAATTCTATCACGGATAGTCACAGAGAAATCACGTTTGGTCATACAATACCCTACGAAATTATCACGTATCCTCACAAGACAAAACGGCTATTTACCAGGGGCTATTTTGGTTTTAGCACACCCTAGCTGCCACGATGGTTTTTCCTCCACCCTGTCCACACAAGGGTAATTTGTTCCGCACACTGATTGTGTAGGGTGCTTTCTAGAAATTTGCCAAAGTACCTTGTTTAGGGTGTAGCGTGCACTGTTTCGTCTTCGTCATCCTCGTCTCGAGTTCTACGCGTGAGTTTTCGGGTTCTTGAGTTCTACGCGTGATGTGAGTCACAGGTGTGTGTGGAACAGAGGTGAATGACCTGAGACGAAAGAACCATACACCTGTTACGAAGTCCCTCACAATGCAACACAGATGGCGTGCATGAGGCAGGAGGAGCCACGCCACAGGCAGGCAGGCACGTCCAAGTGCAACAAGACAACAAAGTGCTAGCAGCCAAAGCTGCCGCCAGTTCGGATGGGAAAGCAAGCAAGAAAAAACAAAACCGTACACCTTGACAGCAAAGGTGGTCAATGGGCGGAATGCTTTGTTATGAGTACACATGATGCCCAACCCCTGCATGCGAAGTTGCCTTTTACATACCAGAAACCTTGCACGCTTGGGTTTTTTTTCGGGCAGTTGCACCCATCTTGTGTGCACGTCAACCAATACGAACCACAGAAACTGAAGCGGCCGAAGTCAAACAGTCAACGGTGAGTTACAAAATTTTGTTATAAGCCCTTTTTGCCCGACGCGAATTGACGAAATCTCCACGAAATGCAAGCGCTATCCACTGAGAGGCCCACCACCCTAGGTGACACTGCCTCACGGTACGTGCGAGGAGTCGGTACGTCAAGGGCGTCGGAGTTTCCCACATGGAAAAGTAGCATGGCATAGAGAGAGGGGGAAGCGGTTGCCAAAAACTCCAGCTCAAACTACCTGTCCTCTAGAACGTCATAGCCAAGGGCAAACTCAGCCCCAGCAGACAGAGGACGGGTAGGAGGAGCAGCCACCAAGCCGGTGGCGTAATCAAGGTGATGGGTGGCGGCAAAGTCAGTGACAGCAGCAGTAAGAGCCGAGACAGATGATGGGAGGCACGAGGGTCCGTGACAAGAGAGGCGAGAACACGTGTGACAACAGGGCGAGCAGCACAGTAGTAATCAGTGATAGGGTGAGAGGAGATAGTGAGAGACGACCCAGGAGGTGGCAGGAAAACAGACAAAGTCGGAGCACGGCAAGGACTAAAACGAAACAAGACAGTGCAGAGTTCGTCAAAAGGAGAAGAGAGACGAGCACGCAGAGGACAACAGTGGTCCAGTCGTGCGGGACAACAGGAGGAGGCGACTGTGACTGAGGAGGAGAGAAAACAGCCGGAGCCGAGTCCGGAGGAGGAAACGTAGGACCATACGCGGTAGGAGACTATGAGCGGAAAGGAGGAGAGGAGGGACAACGAAGGGTCCGAAGGCCACACACTAGTGGGAACAATTGCTGCAAAAGGGTCAGCTGCTGCGGCTGCTTTTGCTCCTTCTGCACCTGCTGCTGCTCTTGCTGCCCCTGCTGCTCCTCCTGGTCCAGCTGCTGCAACTCCTACCTCTCCTGCACCACCTTCTCTTAGCTTCTCGCGCGCACGTCGACAAGCAGCCTAGTAACGTGTGTCATGAGGGTGGGGAGGTGAAGAAGGCGTCCAAGTAGTAGTGCCTTCAACTCCAACCTCCTCAGAGCTAGCACCTCCAACGCCATCACCCCCACAACTACAACCTCAAAGGTCAGGAACCCCAGCACCCGCACCTCCCAAGCTAGCACCTCCAGTACCAGCACCTCCAGTTCCAGCACCTCCAACTATAGCACCCCCCGAATGAGCACCCCTAGAATGAGCACCACCAATGCCAGCACCTCCAGCTCGAACACCCCCTAAGTCCACCGTAACTTGTAGTGGAAGTGCCGAAGGCCGCAGAGGGGACTGTGAGGAGGTCTGTAGGGAGGGAGACGACAGTGGACGCGCTACCAAGGGCAGAGGATAGCATGAGATACATCTGACGGGGCAGGACCTCGGGGGGGCAGGGGTACCGGAGGAGCGAGAGTAGGAGAAGGAGTGGGGGCAGTAGTAATACTTACGATAGGTCAGTTTTACAGTTACGTTCTAGCACTTACCAACCCTAATACTTTCAAAACTTTTACAATTTGGCTTAAAGCTTTTGATTTTAAGAACTATGATTACCCTGATGGTTTATGATAATTTATCAGATAATTTATCTTGATGACACTTATTTCAGGATAGGATTCGGGTGCCAGGCCTGAAGAAACAGGATAAATGAATCAGTTGGACTGAACATTCAGTATTGTCTACTTTAAGCACACTGACGTTTCACTAAAGAGGTGTATAACAACCACTGATGATTCAGGATTGTGTTGAAAATCACACTGAAATGAGGCTTGAAAAAAAAAAAAAAAAATCGGTGCCTATAGTTACCTACACAGGCGAAAACCTCAAGCAACGGGCCTGAATAGGCTTCGCGCCCATGGGGAATGGCGATAAGGAGCTAGCGGGAATCGAGCCGACGCCCTAAACACTACACCACTAATGATGTTTTAGTATACCATAAAAATAGCACTGACAGATCAGGGTACCTTACCCAGTGTAGCACTAATGAAACAGGGCATTTTTTTCTTTATTACTAAACAACCCCTATGCATCAGCCAAAAATGAATAAGAGGGCCTGAACACAAATTACAGTGATAATCAGAGAAGCTGGAAATTCTACACTGCTTTCATGGGCAACGAAAAATCAAAAGCCAGTCCCGATCGGGACTAGCTCAAACCATGTTGTCAGCATTGAACTAGCTAGCTCGCACGCACCGTGTTACTGTTTGCTTGTTTCGCTATAGGTGTTTGCTCATGCCTTCTCTCACATCTTATACAATACTCGTATGCGAACGTTAGTGCAATCCTCGCTTACTCTCTATTTTGCATGAATGTTACGGGTGCAATGGAACGAAGTAGCGAAAATTGCACTAGGGTGTCAAACGAGTACACATTATGAGCGAAGGCATGAGCGAATACTTATACGCGAAACATGCAAACGGTAATGCGGTGCGTGCGAGCTAGCTAGTGCGATGCTGGCATTGAGCCTCGGGCTAGTCCCGAAGTGTAGACCGACACAGCGGAGCCAGTGGTGCATGGTTTGGTGAATAGTGCGCGCCAAGGTTGGCGAAGCCCCATTAGCAGTAACACGCGAACAACGGTTGCTGTTGTACGCGGTGTTGAAGCACGCGGTAAGGAATGCCGAAAAATTCCTTATACTGCCCCCCCCTTCAAAACGCCCCCCTCCGCTACGCGAGTGCGTGTATATCGCGGGAACTCTAGCTTCTCAGGTACACTTGTAAGGCAAGGTGATTCTCAACGTTGGCCAGGAGCACCCAGCTGTCTTCGATTGGGGTGCGGTCCTTCCAGCAAACGAGGAACTCGATCCTCCTTATTACTGTGGGGTGACGAATTTGATGGCTCATAATTATTTCGGGCTCGACGATCGGCTCTGACGCAGGGCGAGTCATGGATGGCGGGCGATGGCGTGGTAGTTGGCTTATGGTTGGGATGTACGGGCGGAGCAAGCTGACGTGGAACGATGGGCTGATGTACTAGTCTCTCGGCAACGGTAGATGGGCGGTAACTGAGGTGATCATGTGGTTGATTTGAAATGGTCCACAGTAGCGCGGTCAAAGTTTCCGTGCGACGGGCAGTCTTAAATTGTGTGTGTCGAACAGTACCTGACTGGTACATTACTGGGCGGCAGTGGCGATCATATTTCCTTTCGCGATGATTTTCGCCTTTTTTAATGCGTCTGCTGCGCGCGTCTGGGCAACTTGTAAGATCTTGGCGAACTATTGTATGCGTGGCGTTGGGTTGTCCGGGCTCGACGTCATGGGCACTGTTGGATTTTGCCCGTAGTTCAAATAAAACAGGGACTGCTGCAACGTCGCTGACGTGGCGTTATTGTAGTCGAACTCGATCAGCGGCAACTGCTCCCCTTTTTTTTTTTTTATGCGAGAAAGTACACTAAAAAGATAATGTACAAACACATCATGCAGTCGTAACTGTGTCTGGAGGGAAGAGCCACAGGACCGTGTACTGCGGATTCCCTATAGCGAGCCTAGGGTGGTTGATGAGTCATCCTTGGGTTGTCCCAGATAAGGCTGAAGCTGTGCCTCCACGTCAGCGGTATTCCTTTGCTGCATATCCGCTTCATCACAACCGCCTCATCTGCCGCCAGGTGCTTCCATTCATCATCCCAGGCAGCCACGCCGTGTTTCCGTGCCGCCACTTGCTTCGCCAAACAATACACCCTGGCATGCGCGACAAACTTAACCACTGCCAGCCGTATCACTTTCTTTGGTTGGAATTTGATGCCCTGGCGACTTGCGTCGCATCTTGCCAGCCACACCTGGTGTAATGTGGTAGCAATGAACGAGCTTTCCGGAAAACCCGACTTCGTGCTCCTCTGCATGAAGAGCAAGTCCTCCAGCCCTTGTAAGCTCAACTGTGGGTTCATCTCCGCCAGCCCTCTCCGCAAAAACCGAACCACCCTTTGAATCACCGGGCAGCCAATCAGGCAATGCTCCGGTGTCTCCTCCGCCTGACAGTGTGGACAGACCACTCTTTCTTTCAAAAAGAAAAGCCGCTCCCCCACTTGCAGATTTCTACAGTGCAGCCTCAACCGAACTTCTCTTGCCCGGGCAGGAGTGGCTAGAGAGTCCCACTGTCTGATGACTCCCTTCCACTCGATCACCCTCCCATCTCCAATCCACCTCCGCTGCTCCCTCACCGTGCCTGCCGAGCTAACCAGCTCCTTCCTAATCTCTTTCAGCGGCAGCACCACCCCGTCCTTACCTAGCTTGGACTACAGCAATTTCGTCCGCGCCTCACCCATTAGCCCCAACACCTTGTCCCCCGCAGCTGCCACCGGCTCCCCGCTTTGCAGCCCGAAGTGGACCGGGTGTTTACCGCTCCCGACTGTGAAAGATCCGTCAGCGCCTTCATGACACAACACCCCCACCACCTTGCCGTTGTCCGTGCCGCTAACTTTCCAGAGCGTAGGGCGTGAAGCACCATTTCTCTGGTGCTGCAGCAGAGGGAATTTAGCCGCGATCTCTCCGCTCGTCAGGGTTTCCAGCAGTAATTCCTTCCATCTGGCCGGCGCCGCCCTGAAAGCTTTCAGAGCCAGCTTCGCCGTCTCTGCTTGTCAGAGTGTCTTCGCTTTTCAGCTTCCGCGAGCCGTCCTCCCGTCGCCAGATCAGGTCGCCCATCGTCAGCCCCAGTAAGCGTAGTGAGCCTTTCTGGTTCCCGAAGGGGCTGCTCCCCCGGAAAGGTATGCGTCTGTTGAAAGCCAGCTGCTCTCGCTCCACCTCCCAGCGATTCTCTGGTTCCGGTGTGACGCAGAAAGGCGATTTCCAAAACGCTTGCACCATATCCTTCCACCGCTTGCTGCCCTTCGTCCAGTGCTTCAGCAGGGAGTGGTGGGCGTAAATCGTGTCAGCCACTTCTTGACTGAGGCTGCCTGCAGCATCATACGCCCAACATTCTGCACCGCTATGCTGTCGAACCGTTTCTTGGGGCAGATCATCCCCAGCCCCCCCTCCTCCCTTGGTGTGCAGATCAGCTCGTAGTTCCAGGGAATGAAGGCCTTCTCTTCTGTCGCCTCGCCTCCTGACACGAAGTTGTGACAGATCCTCTTTATCTTTGTCCATATCTCCGCCGGCGGCGGGTAAATGTAGGCTTGAAACATGAAAATGGGCGAGATATAGCCGTTGATTATCGTGACTCTTGCCGATGTGGTTAGGTGCTGAATCTCCCATTTGGCTAATTCTTTACGTGCCCTGTCTAACGCCTTTTCCCAGGACGGGAGTGGATCGCCGTTCGGGGTGATCCAGACACCCAGCAGCCTCTCCGGTGCATCCTTATCAGCCCATTTGTACTGCAAGTCCGCCGGCGGGAGTCTCCCTCTGTTTTTCCCGAGCGGGAACACCACCGTCTTGTCCTTGTTAACCTTCAGCCCCGATATCTCCCCGAAATTTTCCAGTGCTTCCGCTGCGGCTGCCAGCTGTTCTTCTCCGTGTAGCAGGAGCGACGTGTCGTCGGCGTAACCCAGATACGCCAGCCTCTCCGCTCCCCCGTCCTCGACACCCAGCCTCCGCTGCTCAAACTCCTGGCAGAGCGGCTCCACCGCGCACAAAAACAGGTATGGTGCCAGCGGGCAGCCTTGCCGAACCCCCCGTTCTACCGCAACTCTGTCGCCTGTCCAACCGTTAATGTGCAGTCTCGTTCCTGCTCCTGTGTGCAGACCCTCTGCCCAAGACACAAAGACCTCCGGAACTCCCATCCCTCGCAACGTGCTGAAGAGGAAGGGCCTCGAGATGGAGTCGAAGGCCTTCTGGAAATCGACCATCAGCAGAAACCAATCCTTCCCACCAGTGGCCCCTGCCTCGATTGCGTCAGCCACCACCGCAACAGCGTCCGCCAGCTTCCGTCCGGGTAAGAAACCCACCTGTTCCTCCGAAATCACCTCGTGCAACACCTTCTTAAACCTTGTTGCCATTACTTTCGCCAGTACTTTGTAGATCGTGCTCAGCAGCGTGATTGGCCTATAGTTCCCTAACTCCTCCTTGCTCCCCTTCTTATGCAGCAGGATCGTGACCGCGGTTAAGATATCTCGGGGAAGCTCCGCCGACCGCGTGAAGTCGCCGACGAACTCCATCAGCACTGGGCCGAGCAGGTCCCAGTTGTGTTTGAAGAGTTCCTTGGGAAGGCCGTCTTGCCCGGGCGACTTCCCTGGGGCCAGCTCTCGCACCGCCGTCCGAACTTCTTCCTCCAACCATGGCGCACTGAGGGCATTACGGCTGGCTTCACACAACGCAACTGCTCCCATGCTGTCGGGTCGTCACACGTGACATGAATCAGCTGCTCCATGATCTAGTTTGTTCACTCCATTTGACCGTCGGTCCCGGGGTGGTACGACAAACTGAATTGTAGCCGGGTCCCAAACTGCTGCCAGAGGTTCTTCCGGAAGTTGCTTGTAAACTTTGTGTCGCGATCGCTGGTTATCAAAGCTGGTATCCCGTGCAGTCGGATGACGGTTGCGATGAACAGGCGAGCGGTGTCTTCGGCTGAGATCAATTTCCTTCACGCAACAAAGTGAGCCATTTTTGCTAGTCTCTGTATGACGACCATAATCGCGTCGTTACACCGGGGCTCGCTCGGGCGGTGGGATTGGGTGCAGTTGATCCGCCTTTCTTTTGCACGAGCCCTTCATCACCTGGCACGTGGAGCACGATCCCACGTGGTGTTGAACGTCAGTCAACAGCTCCGGCCAGTAGTAATACTGCAGCAGTTGGTGTCGCATTTTTTCTACCCCGTCGTGTGCATCCTTTAGTAGCAGTTTTTGTAGCTTTCACATAATACACCCCGTTTGCCTCTGTCAGCTGCTATGAATTTCCTGTCATGAAAACGGGTTGGTGCGATATCCGTGGGTGAATAGGCCTGCTAATAGTGGATTTGGGCGAGTAGGATGGCGTGAAATTGGGCAGTGGGGCGGGTGAGGGCATCGGCGATATTCGATGCTCCTTTTTTGTATGTGGCGATATTGTGGAAGCTGGAGTCCTCCAACCAGCAAATCTGTTGCGGATTGAGGTTTGTTTGGGTGCGGAGGTACTGTAGTGATTTGTGATCTGTCCGTACTGTCACGTCGGCTCCTGTGGAGTAGCATCTCCACACTTTGAATCCGTGCTCGATCGTTAGCATCTCGCGATCGTGTATCGACTAGTTGCGTTCGGGCGGGTGAAGCTTGCGGGACTCGTACGCGATTGGCTGAAGGCCATTCCCAAAGTCCTGCAATTGTACTACTACCAGAGCGATGTCGCTTGCGTTGGTGACCAATTCGAACGGGCGGTTCGGGTCGGCTATGTGCAATAGGTGTGGCGAACACAAAATTTTCTTTAGGGCCGAGAAGGCAGCTTATTCTTTCTCCCCCCACGTGTACTCAACCCCCTTCCTCAGCAAGTCAGTCAACTGCGCCATGTCGGGGACGAACCGTCGCACGTAGTTGACGAACCCTAGAAAACTCTGCAGCTCATTCAGATTTGTTGGCGCGTGCCATGCTTTAATCATCGCGATCTTTTTCAAGTCTATTTCCACTCCATCAACTGAAATAATATGCCCTAAAAACTCCAGCCTATCTTGCAAAAACTCACATTTTGATGCTTTCGCCAATAGTTTGATCTCACTCAGTAGATCTTTTGTCAATGTAGACAATTACACACTTATCTAACATTGGGCGGAAAGCCTCGTTCATGGTCATTTGGAAGGTGGCGGGGGCGTTGGTCAGTCTGAAGGGCATTATGGTGTATTCGAATGATCCGTAGCGGGTGCGGAAGGCAGTTTTTGGGCACGTTGACGCGGATCTGGTGGTAACCTCCTCGAAGGTTAATTTTCGAGTAGACTCAGGCTGTGTGAAGTTGATGTATCAATTCGTCAGCTTGCGGGATAGGGTAACGGGACTTCATGGTAACTCTGTTCAGTGCGCGGTAATCTATGCACATGCGAAATCCCCCGTCTTTTTTCGGTGTAAACAGTATCGGTGCGGCGGAGAGCGACGAACTTGGACGAATGAACGGTTCATCCAATAACTAATCCAGCTGCTTCCTCAGTTCGTCCAGTTCGGGTTGGGTCTGTCGGAACTGTCGCTGTGCTGTCGACTGTGCCCCCGTTTCTAGTTCTATCCTGTGGTCGTGCGATCACTGGGGTGGCAATCCCTCCGGCAAATCGTCCAGAAAAATCCGGCTGTACTGCTTCAGTAACGCTTCCAGGCCACCCGGTACGTCGGCGAGTAGTTTCTGCAAATCTCTCAGGTTGTCTGCTGCCTCGGCTTTTCGGATGTCAACCGCATGGACGTCAGCTCATGCCAATATGGCTCATTTCATCGTGATCGCGATGACACATACCGACGAAGATTCAGGCGAGCTACAGCGAGGTAGGGCGATATTGTTACCGTTCACTCACACGGTGCACTCAGTCGTCGTCCAGTCGATTTGCGGATTGTGTCGTCGCGGCCAATCACGGTCGTGTAAAATGTCGGTCCCATCGAAGGTCATTGCCAACATTTCCAAGGTGAATGTCAAGTTCCCCTCGCATCGAATCCGAACCCGGTCTACGCGTTCCCGTATCGCCAGTGGCGTGCTGTCGACCAGTCGTGCGTCAATCTCAGGTAAGCATCTATCCAGTATTAGTTTTTTTCTCCGTGCTGTGACGGTGTTGATCAGGCTGTGGCTGCCCCCCCCATCTATGAAGATTTTCCCGCGAAGCAGTATGGGACTGTCTACCCTCCTTATTCGGCCGGGTGTGGTCGATTGCGTGAAACAACACAATCACTCGGTGAGGGTTGGTTGGGTTGGGCGAGCGACATGACCTGTGAGTAGAGGGGCCCGTTTGCTACTGAGTCCCAGCGATTCCTTGCTGCTTGGTCTGTTTTTGCTGCTCAGCTCCCCCCTTTCCCTTAGCATTTTCCGGGCATTCTCTCTTACGATGACCCGGCTTGTTGCATGCGAAGCAGCGTCCTTTGAACGGTGCGGCAGTGGCATTCGCAGTGACGACGCGTATCGTGGCATGCTCGTTCGTCCCACGAGCTGGATGCCCCCAGCTGCTGCTGTTGGCAGAGGACCCCGGTCTTGGTCGGCGGAGAATCTAGCCTTTCTGCAATTCGGTGACGTTGCGGAGCTGAATCTCCTGTGGATGTCGTACTTCAGGCCGCTAACATAGCGGTTGATGCGTTCTGCCTCGTGCATGTATCCCACCTTCTCGCACAACGCCAAAAACCTGCTGGTGTATTCCTGGACCGAACCAAGCTGGCGCCAAGTGCGGAGTTTCTATCGCGCTGCGATCGAAGCCACGATTGGCTTGAGTCTCGCGCACAGACCTCCACACCACGTGTCCCTCGTGCGATACTGGGCTACCTCCACGAAATACGACGGCACCTAGGGTCCGGTTTGTCCTTCCCGTGACGGTAGAGTCTCATAGTCCGTCGGCTTCGTCACGATGACGCACCACCAGTCTATGGCGGGTCCTCGCAGCAACAACACGGCGTATCGAATCTTGGTCGCGGTCACCGAGATGTAGTTGGCGTGGAAGAAGCTGTTCATCGTGAACAACCACGCCTGAACCATTAGACCACCCCATTAACTCATATCGAAACAAGGCGGACGTTGCGGCTTGAGTGGCATCGGTGACGGTAGTGCCGATTCGTCGTTCGACGCCGAAATCTTGATGTGTGGCTGACTCCTGGCCGCATTCGTCGCTCCAGGGTGTCTCGTTCCGTGGTCGTCGCCTCCGTCATTGCGGGCAACGCCATCACTAGCCGCACTCGAGGGTTGTCCCTAACTTCCGTGCTGAAATGCCTGACGTGCTCCATGCTTGCGTGCCTTGTGTTTGTGATTGTGCTCGTTGCGCCTGTGCGACGTCATTTTGCAATGACTCGCGTTCTGCCGTCAGCGCCGCAATTTCCTAGGTGCTTTCGTGTGGCTGCTGTAGCAGTTCGTTCAGGCGCTCCTGCGTCAGGCTAACGAGGTCGTTATGTTCGGCCATGTTGAAGGGCGGCGGCTCGTCTTAGCACTAGGCGCAGTCATGCTGCACACGCATCTACACGAGAACACGAGGACAGCGGCTCCAAGGGAGCTAAGGGGCATGAGGCCCTTCAAGTGAAAAAAAAACAAAACTTGGTTCTCCCTAGTTGCGGAAAATTGGTGGTCTGAAAATTAAGTGGCTCTAAGACTAAGTGTTACGGGTGCAATGGAACGAAGTACCAAGAATTGCACTAGGTGTCAAACGAGTACAAAGTATGAGCGAAGGCATGAGCGAATACTTATACGCGAAACGTGCAAACGGTAACGCAGAACATGTAAGCTAGCTAATGCGATCTGGCATCGAGGCTTGGGCTAGTCCCGAAGCGTAGGCCGACACAGCTGGGCCAGTGGTGCATGGTTTGGTGAATAGTGCGCGCGAAGTTGGCGAAGCCCCGTTAGCAGTAACGGACGAACAACTATTGCTGCTGTAAAGAATGCCGAATATTCCTCAGAATAAATGCACCTAGCCCTCGCCAATTTCACGCCCTGCAACTTGTTTCGGGATGCACCCTGAACTCGATTTTGGCTTGACCAATGAACTTACAGAATTCGAAGGCTATAACCAACTCAGTCAAGTGTCGAGATGTAAGAAGTCACAAACATGGGCGCGTTATCACGGATGGTCTCGCGGCTATCGCAAACGGACAGAGAATCTAGGTATTCTATCACAGATGATCATATGATTATCGCGGATAATCACACGTTGCCCCACGATTCTATCATGTATGGCCACACAATAAAACTCTCAATGGAAAGTTGAAACTACGTGAGTCACTGTAGTGATTCAAGGAAAATTATCTCGTGCAAGAAATAACCGTACCTCCCGAAGAAGTTCGTGAAAACTTTTGCAAACATTAAAAACAAGTAAAAGTTTGTCTTATTTCAGCTCCTTAGATACATCTGTAGCGAGTCGTGAATTGAATCATTATAAATCGGGACTAAATGTTAATAATTTTTAAGCACATCTGCAATAGAAAAAAACGAGACTAGAACATGTGTCTACGAGACCTAACTGCAGACAGAACCTGTGGTGGTCACAAGGCGGAAGGGCCTTGGTGAAGATGTCTGGAATGTTGGCCTCAGAAGCCATAAAGTCCAAACGAGCCTGTCCACGCCTCTGCAACTCTCGAAGAAGAAAGTACCTGACGTTGATGTGCTTCACTCTGCTCTCCAGTCGAGGCTCTCGATACAGGAGAATTGTCGCCATGTTGTCTGTGAACAAGGTTAGTGCAAAACTCGGCCGCTCACCAAGGTAAGTGAGCAAGAATGTCAACCAACGCAGCTCCTGTATAGCCATGGCTCCAGCGTAAATCTCAG